AGATGCGCAGGACCATTGCCAACTTGCAGGGGCAGCTCAGAAACAAGGGTGCCGCAAAAGGCGCAAGTCGAGCTTCATCGTCGAGCACTACACCTCCGTCGAAAGCTGCAAAGTCGAAAGGGAAAGGTGGGAAGCGATGGCTTATCAAGTTGCCCCCACCTTTGATTGGAATGTCTCCAACTACTCCAGATAATGAGCCAATCTGCTACAACTTCAATTTGAAGGGATGTGACGGAGCAGCTCCTGGGGAACGATGTGAACGAGGGTGGCATGTTTGCATGATGCCCGGCTGCGCCAAACCGCATTCGGTGAAGGATCACAAGTGACACGATGTCGACGCTCAGCTGAGTCATCGAGATGAGGCAAAGCAGAAGCGTAAGCTGGAGAGTAGCACTGCCAATCGAGTGAACTCGATATGTATAGAACTTTGTGCTGGCTGTGCGAAGCTGTCTGCAACCTTGAAGTCGAAAGGATTCAAAACAATTGCTGTGGACCATTCTAAGAATCGTCATCGTCAGCAACACCCATGTGTTTTAGTTGATCTTGCAGATGAAAGTTGCATTGAACAAATTCAGTGTTTGCTTGATGAGCCGGGTCAACCCATTTATTTGCATGCTTCCCCACCATGTGGCACAGCTTCACGAGCAAGAGAGAGAAAGATTCCACTTCGCCTCAAACGACAAGGAGCTCCAGAACCCAAGCCTCTGCGCTCCTCCAGGCACCCACATGGCTTGCCTGACTTGAAGGGTGTCAGTAGAATCAAAGTCAAGACTGCAAATCGCATCTATGCCAACGTTTGCAAGCTTGTTCGATCTGTAGGACCTAATTCCATTGTCACCATCGAGAACCCCAGGCGTTCGTACATGTGGGACACAGTTTGGATGAAGCAATTGATTAGAGACATGGGTCTTTTTCCGGTTACCTTTCAGCAATGCATGATGGGTGGTACAAGGGACAAGTGGGGACTACACTTTACACGAATCATGAGGCATTTCAACGATTAGCCATAGTCTGTGACAGGTCGCATTCGCATCCCAGGACGGGTGGAGATTTGCTAGTGCGGCTGAGGCTGAATTTCCCCAGCTTCTATGCGATAGAATCACTCAAGTTGTTTGTGAGGCAGCGCGTGACAACGATGTTTTGCTTTTGCCGCAGCCTGCTAAGCGACGAAAAACCCTGACAGCTCAACAAAGAGCTGCTGAAGCAGGTCGTCAGCCTAGGGGCAACCTCCTCCCGCAGATCATTCCGGAGTTTGCGTGTACTCACGATGTGGAATGGCCGACGCCCGTGCCCACCAAATCCTTCATGCTCACAGACGCACAACGTCAGCAGTATAGCTTGCCACCACTTTGCAAATTTCTGCCACCACAAAAGGGGGATGTCCAGACAGAAAATTGCAAGAAAAGTAAGAACATGGCTTGGGTAAAAATCGGACAGCTTAGAACACCTGATGAGTTCTGCACCAAAGCGCTCCAATTGGATCACCCCTTTGATGGTGATACAACAGTCACGGATGATGCCAAGAGGGCTATGTTCTTGCTGCTCACGGAAGGCTTGGATCACATGAAGAAACTGCGCGACGATCTCTTCAAGCATTATGATGACCTTGCAGTGAACCTGGAGTTGCAAGAAAAGTTGTTGCATGATGGGTTGGATAGTAACCAACGTGAACTACTTTGCGGTAAGAGGCTTCTCCTTTTCCGTCAGATGTGCCGAGATGCAGCTGTCGAAGATGAAGGTCTCTTGGACATCATGTTACAGGGAGTCAAGTTGACGGGTCGTGCAGCAGAAACTGGCTTATTCCCTTTTGAGGAGATTGAACCGTCCATCACGGAGACCCAACTTATGAAGTCAACCCGTTGGAACAGAAAGAAAATCTTGATGAAGACTTCGCCTGGAACAGGTCGGGTCAAGAAAGCCATATGGGAAGGAGCCTTAGATGAAGCCTCTAAGAAGTGGCTTGAAGGACCCTACACGGAAGAAGAGCTGACTGCTGAATTAGGTCCCCTCGTCGTTGTTTCACACAGGTTTGGCTTGGAGCAATCTGATAAAGTTCGAGCTATCGATGACATGTCAGAATCCCTGGTGAATGCTTGCTTTGGCTCTGTGTACAAATTAGACCTACCCGGAATTGATGGGGTGGCTATTTTAGCACGAACCTTGGTCGAAGCTGTTCAACCGGGAGGTAAGATTGTCTTCAAACTCTCCAATGGGTCAACGTTGACTGGACGGCTACATGAGTCCTTAGACTTGACTAAAGCTAGATCTCTTCGCGGCCGGACTTTGGACTTGGATGCTGCATACAAACAGATTCTTACATCCAAATGTTCGAGGTGGTGCTCGGTTCTGGCTGTAGAAAATCCCGAAGGTTTCAAAAAGCTCTTCATTTCCAATGTTTTACCATTTGGAGCTTCAGCAGCGGTCTACGCCTTCAATAGGGTGGCCAGAGCAATTCATGTGATCGGTGAACGGCTCTTTGGTTTGGTCTGGAGTAACTATTATGACGATTACCCTCAGCTGGACCTTGCATGTTGTGGCGACGAGGCACAAAGGACTGCAGAAAGGCTTTTAAGTCTTTTAGGTTGGCGTTTCTCCTTAAAGGATTCGAAACGAAAACCTATGGATTTTTGCTTTGATGTTCTTGGGGTTACATTTGAGCTTGAGCTACAAGGGACGTATCATGATTAGGAATAAAAGGTCCGTGGTCCCGGGTCTCTCAGATTTCTCAAGAGATCGAAGACATCTTGAACTCTGGATCGTTCAGCCCGGCGAGAGCTACATCCCTAAGGGGACGTCTTCAATTTGCTGAATCTCATTGTTTTGGCAGAGCCCTTTCTGCAAACCTTAAGCAATGGCAGCTGAGGGCTTCGGGAAAGATGCTTGGCTCCTATGTTGACAAGGCTCTCCGCGACGAGCTGAATTGGGCTAAGTGGTTTGTGAATCAAGACCACCCTCGAACTCTTGAAGCAGGAATGAGACAGAACAAGATAGTCATTTTCACGGATGCAAGTTTGGAAGGTAATGATGAAGTAGCAGGAATTGGCATGGTAGCCTTTGTAGTTGAAAACTCAAGGGTTGCACACAAGTTCTTTTTCAGTGAAAGGGTTCCAGCTAATATTTTGAATAGCTGGCAAACCCGAACCAAGAAGATCATAGCCTCTCTCGAACTTTTTGCGGCTGTTGCTGCATGTGAGATCTTAGGCGAAAGATTTCCAGGTTTGCGTACTTTTGTCTACATCGACAATGAAGCTGCGCGGGCATCCCTGATTGCCATGTATAGTGCAGTGCTGCTTCACAATACTCTTTTAAAACAACTCTCTTTCTGCTCCCTGAAGAGGAACCTTTTCATGTGGATTGCCAGGGTCCCATCCTCTTCTAATTGCGCGGATTTGCCTTTGCGATTCATTTTTTTGATCATTTGATGTCAGAAGGTTTCGCACGTGTAGCTGTCAAGTGGCCGGCTCCTTGAAAAACTCCCAAGCCTGAAGTTAACGAGTTCTCACTGCTTGCGTTCAAAGGGGGTTATCTGGCAAGACATGTGAGAAACTTCGATGTGAAGCTCACTTGCCGCTATGTTGATGTTGATGTCACCAGGAGCTCGATCTCGAGGACTACCCCGGTTTCAGAAAAGGACGTTGCAAGGCCGCTTTTCTGACAAGCATGGGATGGGAATGAGCAAACAAATATATATATATAATATGTGTATATATGTATATGCTACACCCTGAAAAATCTACAGTCTACCTTTCTTGCCTGTTTTGTGTGAGCATTGAAGTGTCTTCTAGGCATAAGGCCTGTAAGCAGAAGTGCAAGAGATGGAGTTTGTTGTGGCAGATGAAAACTACTTTTTTTTGATGTGAGATGGGAATGCATGCTGGTGCCGCATTGTGGAGTACACGTTGACATAGGAATGCAAAAGCATAAAGCAGGTGCAGAGTTTGGCTGAATTTTCGTTCGCAAGCAAAGCACACAAGATCAGGCAACGATGTCAGACATGTAGGCACCCCAACAAATGTCTTCGCCGCGATGCCAATACTCATATTGGGCTGAGCGGATTTTCCGCAGCAAAGTGTGGGAACCGGCTTTGGTGTTTGGACCTTTGGCCAGACGTTCCTTGATGATATCCAGCATCTGTCGATGTGGTGAGTACCACATTTGACCTTGATGCGTTTGTTGCCACCCAGAAGTTTGTGGGTCTTTATCTAAACGAAGGTGGGCATAGTCCACTGCCACTTGCAGTTCTTCTTGATCCGCTTCCATTTCCAGCATTTCTTTGGACCTAGGATTTTCCTGGAACCAAGAACCAAGATTTTACAGAAAGTCCTGGCAAATCTGGGTTCTGATGATAATATGTGAGAAACTCATAGGAGGGTCTAACAAATCTTGAGAATTTAAAGACAATCCTAGGACTATATAATGATTTTGTCGATCGACATTTGTTGTCAGTATTACTTTAATATTTGTTTTTTTGAACATAATCATCACTTGCAGTGCACGAGTGGGCTGGGTGGTCCCCCGGGGCAACCGGAAAAAAAACACATAGATACATTCATTGAATATTTCTTTACACGATTTCAATCACATATACTCAATATAAATTTATGTATACTAGGTATCACAAATATCACGAAACACTACAATGGCCGGCAATTGCAAAATCAGCGCAACATACTGTGAAAAAAGTGCTTTGATAGAACAAGTAGGTACTGGGGGGTACCACACACACATATATATATATATATATTATATAATGGACTTAACAAAAATAAGTCAAATTTGTTAGACTCTATTTTTGGGGTGGTACCACATATGTATATATATATATATACATACATCCCCGAGACAAACACATCCCTCAACAAAAAGTGCAGAAAACACTGCACATATAAACACACGATGCACGGTGGGTACCGGGGCATGTTTGAAGTGTGTGTGTGTGTTTTTTAATATTGTAGATAGATTACTAAATTCTTGCAGTCCCCAGTTCCCAACCTTTTGAGGCATATTCAGCGCCTTGTGCTATGCGGAACTTTCTGCACGCATCCCTGTGCCTTCCAGTTGCAGTATCAGCAATGGATGTGAACACAAAGCTTTGCAAATTAAGCAATTGTTCAATTGGAGGATCGGGATGTGTCAATTTGCTTGCGCTAGGAATGTTGAACTGAAAAGACGCGTTGCAGCATCAGGTCTGGCTCCGTGTATTTGTATGCATTTGTTGCCTTTGGAGAGTTTATCGCCCTGCTAATTGGTTTGTCCCTGGACGGCATGGGTCAGTGTCTAGTGCCCCCCTAAGGATTTCTGAAGAGTTTCATGGTCCAAGGAATGTGCTTGTGGACTACCATGTCGGTGCAGCGGTGAATATCGCCTCTTGTGCCCTTTACCTTGAGAAAACGTTTCTTTCTTAGAGATTTTGGCATCCTGGCAGGGCCTAGCAGGGTAAAGCAGGGCCTAGCAGTCAGAACGCACAGTACATGAAGCACATTAAGCACACGTCATTTCTATTGAACCAAGGATTTTAGCCTTTCTCCTGGTGTGTCCTGTCGCCCAAGGCTTCGCCTGATGTTCGGAGATGTATGTGTTTGGCTGCCCAGCACGCAGGCCGAAGTCCGGTGGTGGTGTTTATAGGTGTTCATCCTTCCAGGAAGCGAGGAGTCGTCAGTTTGACTGGCAAAGAGCTTGCTCATTTTCTAAGTCACCAGGAGTCCACAAAGCAAAACAGAAATCACCAACTCAAACAACAGTCTGAAAGTAAACCAGTTTCATTCATGAAAAGCTCGCATCGTACCTTTTGTGGTTACAAGGCTGTTGGTGTTTTCTTTCAAACATTGTTTCATCACAGCTTTCACATAGGTTTGGCAGGACCACCACTCTTCAAAGCCGAGTACAAGCCAAGATTGCAACAGCCTGACATTTCTACACGTCACACAAAACAACCCGTCGTCTCAGCTTTATGGAATGCACAGTCAATTGCCATTCCACCTCACCCCCGAATCAACCAATCTACCGATCTACCAGCAACAAACTGTGTACTTGACAGTAGTGGCAGCTGTCAGTGGTAGCTCTCAGGTTGTTTTGCTTCTCGCCATGGATCGATCGGAGCGTCGACGCATACACGGGCCCCTCCGGTGGTTCGACCGGGAAGGTCATCGGAATGCAGGAGTCAATCCCTACTCACACCAACCTCAAACAACTGACAGCGCCCAAAACTTCTGTTGACTCCTGCACGAAGCTGCGCACTGCTGATCCCCTGGGAACGGTCGTCTTTCCTCCTTTTGAGGTGTTCCTCTTCAGCAGCTATGCAAAACCAGCCCGACTTCAACATTGAAAATAGCGGCTCTGTCGAACCCTTGACTTTTGTCAAGCAATCTGCCACCATGGCAGGGTGATCAATCCACCGGATTTCTCCGTTCAAAGCTGTCAGCTCCTGGCGGATGATCTGAATTTCAATGGCAGTCCTTTTATCCTGCCCGCCTATTGTCTGCTTACTCAGGTAGTCGAACAGGCTCTTGGCGTCCACAATCGCCAGGCATTGCTGCAGCTCTCCATTCTCGCTCGTTGCCAGAGCTACCACATCTTCTTTGGCCAGGATGGCCGGCCAATCATACATGTTGAACTTTTCTTCCAGCAGCTCCCTGAACAACACCTTCATCCACAGAAGGTCGCCCATTCCTTTGGAGAGACTTTGAGTCTCTGCAGCTAAGGTAGAATTCACTACCCTTTGGAGTTTGGCGCTGCGCCACCAAAGCAAGTTTGTCTTCACCTTCAGGCCTTCCTTCAGCCCTTCTTCATGGGCGATGATCATCTGGCCTCCTTGAGAGTGGAATCCATCATTGCCAAACGAGGCATCCGTGATCACTGCCAGCTTCATCTCCTTCATCGGCTGAATCTTCAAGCTCAAATCTGAGCTTTTCTTCAGCTGCTTGATCACTTCGTTGAGGGTGTACAAGTCTTCCACTTTCATGGAAGTCAGCCTCGAGGACATAAGGCTGGAAGGTCCAGCTGCATCAGGCCTTCCCTCTTTGGATAGCCAGTTGAGAGAGCCACACACGGCCCTTGCCTGTGACCTTTCTTGTTCATTGACCTCCTCCTTTTTCACCTTCTTTCTTTCAGGAGCTATCGGAATCTCTTCCAACCTTTCTTCAATGAACTTCTTCATGTCGACGTAGAGAGTTCCTTCTTCATCCTGCTTCAACCTTCTTCCGTTGAAGCTCGCGCCTTCTTTCTCCTCCTTCAAGTCCACCCATTTGCCAAAGGTGAACTGTTCTCGAAGCTCCTTCGTTTTTGGTGAAAGACTCCTTTTCCGCAGGCTAGGATGTCATCGACCTCGATGGCCAGGAGTCCAATCAACTGTCCTTCTTCGTACAGTTGTAAATGCAAGGGTCCAGTCGGCTCTCTTTGAACCCTAGCTTCTTCAAGGCCTTGAGCAAGGTCTTCCTCCAATGAACAGGTGCATCAACTAGCCCGTAGCATCCAGCTATGATCTTGCAGATCTGATCTTCATGCAGACCCGAGATGCCTTCAGCGGGTTGCTTGAAGTATAGGGGACCATTGATCCTTTCCAAAGGATCACTTTGGCAAAATGCACTTTTCAGGTCTCCTATGCTCACCGTCATCCCAGCGTTGATCGCTATCTGCAACATGACATTCAAGTTCATGGTGTTCACCGTGGGACTGAATCTTTCAAGTTCCAGGATGTCCGGATCCTTATCGCCTCGAATGCACAGGCGGCTTTTCTTGGAGGGAGGCACTCCTGGTTGTTCTGCTGGCTTATACCTTCGAGCCATTCTCGAAGGTAGGATTCTGTTTTCTTTTCCTTCTTCTTTGAGGGCAGCGCGGACTCTCCTTGATTCTTCTGGACTGAGTACTTGGATGGCTTGGCTTCGCTGGATCTTCTCGAACTCTGATTTGTCCTCCATTCTCCACTCTTCAAGATCTTTGTTGTCTTCTTTACTCAAATCCACTTCTTGGCTCAAGTTTCCTCCTCCTTGGCTGGTGGGAGTGGAGCTGACCCAAACTTCCAGCTTTTGAAGCTGCCTCAATCCACCTTCTTCTTCTTTCAGCGAAAACTCTGTGCAGCCTTTCCACCAGAACCCTGATGGTGTTCTTCCTTCCTTCTTGTCTTCTTTCCATTCTTCTCCTTCTTCTATCTTCACTTCACTTTCATCTGCCTTCTTCATCGTGGTCTTTCTGCTCCCTAGCTTGCTGGGGTGGATTGGCACTCCTTGCATGCCCAATGGACTGAACAGCGACTTTCGGCGCTGGATGTGGTGTCTCCGAGCAAACCATTCAACTCATCCACTTCCCAGTAGTCTTTAGTAGGCTTCTTGGAGATCTTCTTCAGCCTTTCTTGTCTTTCGAAAAGCTTCTCTTCTTCCATCTCAGATTCATCCACTGCGAGGAACATCCCTTTCTTTCAGTTGCCTCCATCTTACTGGACCTCCAGTTGGTGGAAGTCCGTCGAGGGTTCTTGCTCTTTGGACGGATTCGACCATACTTCTTCTGAAGGCTTCGCTGACTTCTTCTGCTCTTGCTTCTCTTGCTTTCCTTCCTTCTGCCTCTTTATCTGAGCTCCTTACTTCTTCTTCCTCTTCTGGTTCTTCTTTTATGGAGCTTGTTCCTTCAGCTCTTCCAGCTTGAACTCCTCTTTCATCTTCTCCGACTTGAGTAGGAGAATATTCTTCCATTCCTCTTCCTTCCTCTTCTTCTCTTCTTGGCCTTCTCCTATTCGCTTCTTCTTCTTCTTCTGCGGCTCCTTCTTCTCTTGGTCGCTTTCGGAATGTGCCTTCTGCATCTTCTCCTTCATCTTCTTCAGGCCATGCTTCTCCTCGAAGGTCTTTGTATCCTTTTCTGTTTGATGACCTTTTGAAATCTTCTATCAACTCTTTGCAACTTCTCATGGCTTCTTCGATGCCTTGTTGCTCGATGTTGATGGCCCTTCTGCATTGTTCTCTAGCGACCCTCCATAGTTCTCCAAACATGGAGATCCACAAGCTTGCACCGTCCACTGCTATCAGTGTTCCAGGGCCAACCCAGGTAGCCTTGTTTGGAGTCCTCTCGTGGCTTGGGAGAGATCCTTCATGTTTCCTCTTCTTCGCTCTGGGCACCCGGTACACATAGACGTAGTCACCTGCAGTGAACTCTTGAGGAACTCTCGTTCTTCCTTGCTCCACTCTCTTTAGTGCTTCCTTTGCGTTGTGCTCGATGAATGCCTTTTGAGCAATTCTTCTCATCTCATGCATTCTTTCCATGTCATCAACCACTGCTCCATTCATCAAACCCGGGTCAATCACATCGTCTCCGAGCAAGTTGCTGGGAACTCTTGGCCATTGACCGATTTGTCTTTGCACTGGGCTGAAGCCACTTCTGTTGCTGAACCTGTTCTTTGTCATCTCCACTTCCTGCATCAACAACTGTAGTTCTTGAGATGAGGTGATCACTGCTTCTTCTCTTGCTTTCTCCAGCAACTCTTTATAGTGAGCCCCGTGCCTTTCTGTTCTTCCGTTTTGCCATGGAGCTCGAGCGGCAGTAGTCTGTGTGACGATCCCATGGGATACGGCCATCTGCATGAACTGTGAAGAGAATTCTTTTCCAGCATCGGCCACTAGAACCTCTGGCAAACCGAAGGTTCTTCCCCATGTAGACCACAAAGTGCTCCAGATCGTGCTGGGTTGTTTGTCGGCAACTCTTTCCACCATCTGGTAGTTGCTCCCCCAATCTACCATCGAAAGAGCAGGGAACAACCTTTCTCCTCCAACTTCTGGCAAAAAGATCAGGTCAATGCCCAACACCCTTCCAGGCTGGTAAGTCCTGGGTATTGCAGCCGGTCTTGTGGCCTTGGGTTTCGCTCGAGCTTGACATGCTGGGCACACGAACTCTTGATATGCCCATCGAATGATTTCTCCTCGAATTCGAGCGGCTCTCATGAAACGGACAAATTCAGCCCTTTGCGGATGTCCGAGGCCTTTGTGCAGCTTCAGAACAGAGCGTTTCTCTTCTTCGGTGACTTGATATCTTTGCTCCTTTTCTCCTCGATTTTCTTTCTTCATCTCCTCCTCCATTTGCCTTTCAAGAGCTTCTTCCAAGTCTCCACCTTCTTCTTCTTCATCTTCTTCTTCTTCTTGCATGAACGCTTCTTGACTTCCTTCTTCTTCTTCATCCACTCGAATCTGCTTCCTTAGTCCTCGGAGCACTTCTATGCAGAACTCCTGTGGGTACTTTTGGGCTTTCTTTGGAAGTCCACATAGTGTTGGGACATGGACATGCTTCTTGTTACATCTTCGTTCAAGTCTTTTCCTCATCTCCTTTGAGTTGATCATCAGCTTGGTTGGCTTCTTGTTGAGTCCCATGCCATTCACATTCAGCCCGAACATGCACATGTCCGTGGTGATGATTTCCACGCCTTCCAGCTCTTCTACTTTCTTCGCAACTTCTTCTTTCCATGACACGGCTTGGGCTGGATGTTCGAAGAGAAAGTACCTCCCTCTTTGATGCTGCCACTTGGCAATGGCCATGGCCAAACTCAAATGCTCCATGCCGGTTTTGATCAACATTGCAGCATTCTCCATCTTCATCTTGGGGAAGTTCAGGAACTGGAGGGCTGAGAAGGCAGTACAAGGAGGACATAGGATGATCAGCCACGGATCTTCTTCCTTCAATTTCCTCCACATCTTCTTTCTTTCTTCTGCCTTGGATAGGTCCCAACCAGTTTCAAGATCGAAAGAACTTCCTTGGGACAGTCCCACCTTTGGTGCTTGAAGAGCTATTCTTGGCGGAGAGAAGACTTCACACACCTTGAGGATGTTCTTCATGACTTCCTTTCTTTGCTTGTGGTTGAATTGGGTCTCCTTGTCAATGCCGAAGAAGTCTTCTATCCAAGTCCTTGGTTTGAGCTCAGTCTGCACTCGAGTCCTCTTTTGCTCTAGTAGAGGGACCAGTCCCTCTCTTTCTTCCCATCTTCCTTCTTCGACCTCCACTTGGAACCTTCTATCGGCGATGAGGTGCGGGTGCCTGGAGGTTTGCATCTTCCTCAACACTTGTCTTCCCTTCTCAGTGTGGGCTTCAGCCCACTCCTCCTTCAGTCGCTGTCCGGAATTGGAATGAATTCCGCTTCCCCCGCACTCCTCCTTGATGCTGTCCTTGGACTTTTGCTCCTCTTCCGGCTGCTCACTGCAGCAAAGCTCATCTCTGAAGGACTGGTCTTCGGCCTGGTGTCGTCCCACTGAAAGAACTCGCATTGGCCGGTCTTGCACACCCAGAAGTGCCTCTCCTTCTCCTTGCTTCCTTCCTCCGGGAGTCTCCTCAGTTTGTGAGCAATCAACTGACAGTGGCACAGAGGTTCGCAGCCTAACGGTCCTTCCGTCTTCTTTGGTGCCTTGACTGGTTCTTGGCTGCTTTGACTCTTCTCCTCTAGCATCCTCTCCATCGCCTCCTTCTGGTTCACCACCGTGGACATCATCGCCTGCATCTGCACTTCCTTCTCCCTCATGGCCACTCTTTGCTTTTCGAACTCCTTCATCACCTCCATCTTCTCGGAAGCGGCCTGGGCTCTCTCTTCTCGCAAGAGCTGCATGATTGCCGCTCTCTGAGACTCGGTCTCCTTTCCCTTCTCTTCTTCCTTCTTCAAAGCGAGATTCGTCTTCGTTTGACTCAAGAGGCCCTGCTTCTGCTTCTTCAAATCCTCCTTGATCTCGGCGGCCTGCAGAGGGGATTCCCACCTGGAGTGACACATCTTGCAAGTCACATAGGAGGCCGTCTTGTTTCCTCCTCCCTTCAATTGGTGCTTTGGATGGATGCAGGTACTGGCTGACACGGAAGGCTTCTCCTTCGACTTGAGTGGTGCCAAAGGTTTGGCCGTGATGATGATCTTCGCGTACACGGCTTCCAAACTGTCTTCTTCCTGCTTGGACGGTGGCATAAATTGCTCCGAAGGTACAAGCGACGGCAGCCACTCTTTGACCAAAGCTTGCCTTTCGACGAACGCCATGATGATGAACAGCTTGTCCAGCAGCACCCTCCAATTCCTGAAAGCCCACTTGGGACGTCGTGCCTGTCCCTTCATGACCACGTCTGGCGGAGGGGTTCTCTGAGAGTCGCCCAGCAGCCGGCCCATGCGCTCCATCAGCTGCGACATCACGAGATGGAGAAGGTAGGAGCGAAGGTCTCTCCAAGACCTGGGAAGCTGCAGGCTTTGCTCGATCGAATTGAGCCAGCATGGCTTGAATTGTTGCTTGAAGTCGAAAATCATTCTCACAAAAAGGAGCTTGCTCAGGCACTTTGAAACCATCTTGATGAACATGACAAATGTCTATGACCACATGTCCGCTTGCCAACTCTTGCATGGGCAACTCAATGCCCTCATCCGTCAAAACAAACTTGTTCTGATTGAAATCAATGACCGCTTTGAGCTGCTTCATCAACTTAACCGGCAAAAGAAGTGGAACCTCTCCGGCTACGACGGTGACCTCCAAAAGACCATTGCACCCTCCAATGCCCATGGGGATCAAAGCAACTCCTACCACCTCAGCCCGACCTCCAACACCCTTTGCTATGGATTGTTTGGGGATCCATTTGATGCATAGTCCAAAATCTTGTAGTCGACGTTCTAGACGTTGAAGTGCTGGGAAACCTACTAGCCCACCTTCAGCAGCAGTGTCTACCACCCCAAACTCTGAACCTGTAGTGATGCCACAAAACGATACGGACGGCGGCTGTCGCTCCTTGTATTCGGACTCGGCTGAGATCTCCGCACCCAATTCGGTGCTCGCCTTCCGGCTTTCTACAAACTGTCTCAACCAAAAGGCACTTTCTTTCTGGCCGGTCGAGGTGAAAAAATCCTGGTCTGTCGACCCCTCTTGAGCTACAAAGAACCCTGTTCTGGTAGATGCGCTCGAGGAGCTGGGAGGTCCGGCTGGTCCACCAGCTTTGCCTTTGTCTGAAGGAGGGTTGGTGCACTCTCGACTGATGTGGCCAAGAGCGCCACATCTCCAACATCGTGTCCTGAGCTTGAGCTGTTCCACGTGCACCTTGAACTTGCCTTTTCCTTTTCCCTTTTGCCATCCTTTTTCACTTGACTTGCCCTTGAAGAAGTCCTTGTTGTAGAAAGCCCCTTCCATTGCGCTGATTCTTCAGCGCATCTCTGACTTCCCGGTAGCTCGCTAGAGCCTCGATCATCTCCTCTTCGGAGTAGGTCCCATCCAAGTCTCCTTCACCCACATAGATGAAGTCTTCGCTGTTGCCCTCTTCATCTTCAGCCTGGATGTAGGAGTCATTCGTGGCAAGGTCCTCGAAGTCCATCACATAGGTGCTTTTGCCGTTCTTGTCTTTCACCACTTTGTCCAACTTCCTGAGCGCTTTCACTATCGACACCTTGTCATACTTTCCATCGCACCAGGTGAGGAGCCTTTGCTCCTGGGGCTCACTCAAAGAAGCCTGTCGATACAAAATGTATCCAGTGGCTCCGTCTGGGAGATCTACTCCCTCTTTTCCCAGCCGGTTGAATGCCCGTTCCATTCTGGCCAGGTACTCGGGGAAGGTCTCGACGGCCTGACGAGGTTTGCCATAAACAGCAGCTTCAAAAGCCCTTGGCAGGCTCACCTCCAGGTGAGGAAGAAAGAAATCCCTCAGCCTGTTCATGATGTTCTTGACCCCATCTTCTGTGGCTATATCTTCAAATTCCATATCTTCTGTCGCCAGTTGAGCCATCCCAGAAAGAGCTCTATGCAACTTCGCGCCCTGCTTCCTTTTGGGAATGTCGGTCTCGAAGCACCACAGCTTGACATTCTTCTCGAATGTCTTGAAAGTTCCCTCGGGGTCCACACCATCATAGAAAGGTGGAGGATCGCGATCCCGCGGTCCATCCCTTTCTCTTTCTCTCTCTTCTCCTGGGTCTTGGGTCCCAGCAGCAGCAGCAGCATAGCTTCTCTGACTCCTCGGCGGCCGTCTGGTCTCTCCCTCGTCCTCAGCGGTGTTCGGCATGGTCCCTGGAGCGTTCCCGAGCTCCGCTACCACTGACAGTAGTGGCAGCTGTCAGTGGTAGCTCTCAGGTTGTTTTGCTTCTCGCCATGGATCGATCGGAGCGTCGACGCATACACGGGCCCCTCCGGTGGTTCGACCGGGAAGGTCATCGGAATGCAGGAGTCAATCCCTACTCACACCAACCTCAAACAACTGACAGTACTGGAGAACCAGCCACAGAGCCACAGTCCGAAAAATGTCAAAAGATACGGTAGTCTAGTTGTGACCAACCCACAGTACGTTTTTCGGCACCAGTCATCATTCGCGGGGAGACGCTTCGGGTACGCTCTACAGGTCATATCACTTCTGATGGTGCTGCTGCTGACGTGTGCCTTCGGAACAAATTGTGCAGGGATTCTGAGGGGCAGGACTACTTTCACTTTTTTCCACATTCTCTTGAAGGAATTTGGCTCTTCCACTTAGTGCACTTACACCATGTTTCTCTGCAAGTGCTCTGCAGAGTTTGCAAGGCATTCTGTCAGTCGGTGTGGAAAATGGCCTGAAGCGAGTCAATGGATTATTGGTTTTTGGAGTCTCGACTGTATGGCAGTCAATGGACGAACTCCTTTCAGGCAGTTTTCATAGCGTGAAGACGTGCCGATGTTTTGCGAGAAACAAAGCAGCTACGACTCGACGGTTTTTTCTCGACTTGTGCTTTGTCTACTGTAATTGCTAAGGGAAGGTGGGCATTGTGCTCTTAGTTATCGTTGTCGGGTGCACGAAGGCCGGCGGAGCAAAATAAAATTGCCCACTGAACGATAAATATCGATCAGTCAGTGCTGTTGTTGACCTGCAGGTGCAACCCACCAATCTCTCCCCTGTTTTCCCGCGTCCTGGCTTTAATTCAAACTTTTCGCATGCGGCTGGGAGTGAGTGTAGGTGGATGATATGGTAGGTGAAACGAATTCTTGAGAACAAGAAAGGTTAATAGCCGTGGTGGTTTCTTGCTCTCCGGGATTGCCGACCCAGCGCAACTATGTCTTCCTCAGGTTTGGTGTGGGGCCTGTGCTGAGCATGTGGGGAGCTGTGTTCATAGTATGGCAGATCGCAATCTGACCGTTGACAGTAACGTGTACATTGTGAAGATTTCTGGAGGTCAGCGACTTGTTCATTTTCCTTCATAGGCCACGCACGCATTGGATGGATGATGGATGACAGTTTGTAGTTTCGGCGTTTGCGCCAATGGTTCATATCCTTCCCTGTTTGTCTTTGCCTTTGGCACAAGTGTTGCTTTCCAAGTTTGCTTTGCCTTCCAGGATTTGGAACTGTAACCAATGCGGCAGAGGAGTGTATTAATCCTCACAGAGACTTGCCAATCGGAATCACACTTTCGCTCCTCATTTGTGCCTTGTTTGCTTGGGCATCCATATAATTTGTTAAGTATCTTAGAGTCTCAGAGGAGGGGGCTTCGCCATTTCGCTTCCAATTATATAGATCTCAGGAGTAGACACGGTAGACATGTAACGTAGGTGAGCTTGGAAATAGGTGACGCAAGCGCGACAAAAGCTTTCGCACTCTCTTGGACCTAAAGAAGGATAATACTATTAGGCCATTCTTGCTCTTAGACGTTGTTTTACAAACAGATAGCAGAGTCCAAGAAGAGTAGGGCCCCTGGCCTCAAGCAATGGAGTGACGTCGTGCCAAGATAACAGGCTTTTCAGCATGGGTATCCCCAGAATTCCCTGTGCACAGCCGTAATTCATCAGCATCCGAGGTGCCTTGTTGCACCTCGGCGTGACCAGTCTTCAGAATATGTGTTGCAAAAATGAGATACACAGACACATGCTGGAAAGTGTGGGGGACGACTTGGTTTTTGCATATTGTAAGGGCTCCGCCCTGGTGCCGCCGACCCCTTTTTTTGTGAGACAAGGCAGCATGGCTAGGAAGGCAACAACCGAAGTTGGACATAGTTCTGTTGTGGACACCAATGGTGGTGGTCGTGGACCTAAGACAGAACAACTGCTTATATAAAGGAGCGACCAAATGGCCTCAGGGGACTGTGGGTCCCAGAGGCTCCCTCCCAAGGCTCCCGGAAGCGTTTGAAGCTAAAATGCGTGACGTCGCCTGGCGCGTTGCCTTCGGAATCCTAAAGAAAAGAGGCGCAGGCCTAGGTGGCAGGTTCCAGAGGCTCGGTTCTAAGGCTGCAGCGCATGGGCTGCACGTTCCAGAGGCTCCCTCCCCAGACTCCCGCCTGACGCAAAGGCTGCGGTGCAGGAGTAGGCCAAACGTGCGCTTGGGGCCTAAGCCAAAGGTGCCGGGAAGGGTTTGAAGGTGCCGGGAAGGCGCCTGGCGCGTTGCCTTCGGGACGCTAAAGAAAAGAGGCGCAGGCCGAGGTGGCAGGTTCCAGAGGCTCAGTTCCAAGGCTGCAGTCCACAGGCTGCACGTTCCAGAGGCTCTCTCAAGGCTCCCGCCTGACGCAGGCAAGGCTGCAGTGCAGGAGTAGGCAGCGGAGCCACGGCAAAACGCTCTGGATCTGCTTGGCCTCGGCCACAAGGGCTCCACGGCGTGACGGAACTCGTTGAATGCGAGCGGACGCACGACGTGTGGTTGCAGACACTTCAGAACGAGATTCGCAACGGGACATTGTCCCCGACAAACCACGCTTTCCTGCATGGAGCTGAGACGGATGTGCCAGGGAGTTGGAATGGACAGGGACTAGATTGTGGCTGCGCAACCTGCCACGCCTTGATGACAGGAAAGGCAACGCCGGCGAAAATTCGCGAGGGAGAGCGCGGTGCATGTAAGCGGGAGCGTGCGTCCAAGGTGCGGGTAGTAGATGCGGGGGCTCGACCATCGCACGTATTTTCGCAACCAACGCAATAAAATATCGCGTGAACAAACTGCGTGCGAAAGATTGGGCTGCTGCCGCCGGGCAGCAACTGCACTACGCCATCGCAAAGGACTGCATTTCCAGCGCGGCGCTACGCGAGAAACCCGACTTGGCCAAAGAAAGTTGGCGTGGCTGCAAAGACATGACCAGGACTGTGGGTCGTTGTATGGGGTGTTACCCCTTTGCGTTGGACTGCCGGTGACGGCCACGGACCACTTAGATCGTCGCCGCGGCATTCTCCGCGGGTGTCCGGGGGAAGTGGTTGGTTGGGCCTGGCCAAAGGAAGCTTCAGACCTAAAGAGCCAAGAAAAAACAAAGATTTGGAACGAATTGCCTGGTTGTATTATGGTCCGATTTCACACCAAAGACACTTGGCGCGTGGAGGGGATTCTGGAAGACAATGTGTATCCAGTACCTGCGCAAAAGAAACCATGGTACTTGGACAAAGGGCGGCGGCGCCCGGTGCTACGCGTGACACGCAAGCAATTCCCACTGGCACCCGCCTTTGCGACGACTGCCCACGCCGCTCAAGGACAGACTTGTCCGGAGGGAGTGGTCGCAGACCTGCAGATCGGCGAAGCCGGAGACCCCTTGACAGTATACATTGCGATTACACGTGTCCGGGACCGGCAAGGTTTGTTTATTTACCGCCCCTTCGACGCGGCGCCGTTCCAAAGAGGAGCGAAGCTGGGGCGAGACCTGCTGCTTCGCTTCTGGAGAGGAGACACCATGGATTGGGCGGCGTTGCGGGCCAAGTACCGCGAAGAACGGCAATGTGCCGAGTGCAAAGAGCAGAAGCCTGCGTCCGGATACACGCTCGGGCGATGGAAACGCATGGACGCGGCAAGAATATGCAAAGAATGTCTCCAACGTCACGGGGCGATGATGCAGCCTTGGCAATGCATGGCCTGCTACATGTGGAAGCAAGAAGATGCATTTGTCGCCAAGTACCGGCGCGATGAAGCAGAATGCGCGAGGTGGATCCCGAGTATGCTTGGCTTGCGCGAGCCAGGCCCATGGGCACGCAACGCGCCCGCGAGGCACGACGCAAAAGGCGAACGCATGTTTTGCAGTGCGGGGCCCCGAGACCCAGTTCAGAAGCCAGGAAAGCCAACCGCCAAAGCTTCCACGGGGCACGGCGGCAAAAGCCGTGGCCCGCCTGGCCGCCACGCGTGCCAAAGTAGAGCAGCGCAAGCATGAACGCATCATCGCGGAAGTCTTAGCAGAAATCAAACGTAAGCGCGCAGGGCCAGAACAGGCAAGGGAGGAACCGGTGAGGAAGCGTGGGAAACTGCCAGAGGGTCTCGATGGCCAAGGCAGCATGACTCTCGCTGGCCAAGGCACCAAGACATGCCAGTACATATGCCCGCACTGTAAGGCGACCGTGGAGAGCACGATAGCCAATGGACAAGTGGATCACCGAGCAGTGTGCGGCAGCCAGTTCTACGTCAGTGACGGAAAAGTCCAAGCAAAGAAACAGCATGAGTACACATGCCCGTTGCGGGGGCCTGGTCACAAGCAATGTTACGACGGGACAAATTAATCACCGGACAGTGTGCGGCAACCGGTTTTGCGTCAGGG